GAGCATTAAGTGGATAGCACGGTACCTATTTCAAATCTTAGAATTGTCTGTTTGCAATTTGCGTGTCATATGCTTTTTCAATAGGTAATATCTCTCTTCCGGTGACATACCGATTGTATAGGTTTGAGAAATTTCTGTCTGTACAGTACTTTACGACTTTCTTCCAAAAGTCGAGCAGCGATTTGTCCATGCTCCTGCTCAAGATGATTGGCCTGTTTTTTATCATATTGCTCGGCCATATCTGAAATTATTTGCTGAGATTCTGCGACATTTTGGTAAGATGTATGAGCTGGTTGGGACTGGCTCGGTTGATGATTCTGTATATATTCTGTATATATTTTTGTTTTGCAGGTCTTCTGCGTTTCATTATTAATCTTTAAAAATAACATCCAAAACATTTAACACTAATACTGTTGGTATGTACCTAATAAACTAAATAAATATTACTATTCTTTAAAATGTTTAGTCCAAACTAACCAATACAGCTATTTTTGTTTGCACATCAAATCAAAATATGACTATAATATAACCTGTACCGTCTGTACCTGTCTGCTATTTTTGTTAACTGCAGCTATAAAAAGGAATTGACAATAACATGGGCACTTTCAAGGGATTTTTACCAGCCTTGTGACCAACTCCAATCAATTTCTTGTGGCCAAATACGCCATTTTTAACAAAAAAATCAAAAATCCTCGCACAAAAATAAAAGTTTGTCCGTACACGGGCTTGTTTTAGAGTACCTATAGAAACAATAAAAACGTAAACAGATCGATCATAACTAAATTCAATGTTTACTTTAAAAAATTACAGAGTTTATTGTAGAAATTATTTGTTGAATCGAATCAACATATTGATATCTAAACCAATAATATATTGCATATTATCTGTGGAACTGTACCAAGGATACAGTTTTGTACTAAATTAGATTTACAAGATGGCCGATTTGTATAAACAGAATAAACCTTTTAATGAAATAAAATGAAATGAAATCAACTTTATTCATAATTTGCAAACATGTGCACGAATGGCGTCATTACATTGGATCAAAATCATAATACTTAATCCTAAAAAAGTACAAGACATAATCACTCTAATATATTATGTAGAAGGAAATATTCATTCTTTGAGTAGGCTACAGGGGTTTAGTTAAAAAGTACATTTTTAGCTTATTTTTAAATTTTGTAGTTTTTGTATACTCCTTTAATTTTGTTGGAAGAGCATTGTAACATTTTATACCCATATACATTGGTTTTTTTTTTTCAAAAAATCTTAATCTATGGGAAGGTGTTGGATAGTTATTTCTGTTTCTGGTACATTATTGATGAGAATCCCCTACCAGTGAGACATTATTTGAATTTTGGACAGTATATAATATACATTGATAGATATAATATGTTATGCCTAGTTCTTCAAATTTTTCCTTAACAGAATCTTGCCAATCCAAATTTAACATAATGCGGATTGCTCTTTTCTGGAGAATTAAAATTCTGTCTAAATTAGCTTGTGATGTTCCTCCATAAATACTTATACCAAAGGATAAATGTGAGTGAATATGAGCAAAATAAACCAATTTTAGTGATTCAAGTTTACAAAATTTTGAAAATCTAGCCTATAAAGTGCAAATAGGCCTGTTGTCATTCGATTTGCCACAAGATCAATATGATAATTCCAGCTTAATTTACTGTCTATGTATAACCCTAGAAATTTAGTGTTCTCAATAATTTGTATATCTTCACCGGCTAATTTTAGTGCTGGGTAATCTGAGTTGGTATTAGTTTTTAGATTAAAGCGTGTAAAATTAGTTTTGGAAAGATTTAGTAATAGCTGATGATCAGAAAAAAATTTATTATGGCAGATGTTTCTATCTCATGAACAGATTTTCCGCTTACGAGAAGATTAGAATCATCGGCATATAAACAGATGGTATTTCTTGTTGAATTTGATATAACATTGGGTAATCCATTGATATATGTAAGAAATAGTAGGGGACCCAAAATAGAACCCTGTGGTACACCATGTTTAATTGTTCTCAACTGTGATCTTGTTGTAACCATCTGGTTATGATTGTTTAAGTGTCTAATTTCTACAAACTGTTTCCTATTAGTTAAATATGATTGAAACCATTTCAGTGAAATTCTTACAACCCCTAGTCCTTCCAATTTTTTTTTTTTAAATAATTTATGATGAGATACACTGTCAAATGCTTTGCTTAGGTCCATAAATATTCCAATTAGGGACTTTATCTCCCCTATCTACTGAATCAATAATTGACTCAATATATGTAACAGCCGCTGATATTACAGAATGGTTTGATCTAAAACCGTGCTGCTCTTTATCGAGTTGATCATTACTTTCTAGAAAGTTAACGAGCTGATTATACATAGCTTTTTCATAAATTTTAGACATGACAGGCAACAAGGCTACTGGGTGATAGTTCGAAACATCTAATTGGTCCCATTTTTTATAAAGAGGTTTTACTTTAGAAATTTTTAATTTATCTGGAAATATGCCGGATATAAATGATGAATTTACTAAGTGTGCAAATGGTTTTTTAAGTGAACTCTGGGCATGCTTTATTACTGTTATGGGAACCTCGTCGAAGCCTGAAAATAGTTTATTATCAAATTTGGAAATTATTTTACTGATATCTGTCTCACTGATTGGTTCACATTTAAATTTATTTTGTTTGTTATTTATTACTAAATTAGGTACTGTACTGATAAATTTGGTGTATTTATTTTTGGAATTACATCAGAATCAACTACATTGACATAAAAATCATTAAAAGTGTTACATATAACAATAGGGTCATTATATACTTTCGAATTTATCTCTATTTCATCTATGCTCTTCACAACCTTTTTTTTTATATTTAAATTAATTAAATTCTTAAATTTGTCTTGGATACATTCACTGAGCTCAAAACTTTTTCATCCATATAATTTTGTTTGGCTTTGAAACATTTTGTTAATTTAAACAAAAATGAGTGGTTTTACATTGAACTTTAAAGCCAGAAATAGTTACCGAAAGGTTAGTTTTATAACAAGTTCAATAGATAGGTTGGAATTTTTTTTATTCATACAGCTATTGACTATAGAATTTTGCTTAGGCATACTACTTGCTTTTAATTGAGCGGAGCGAAGCGAAGCTCTTATACTACACTCCTGCTTTTGTTTTACAAATACTCCTCCTGAACGGCTGAAGCGATCTGCACAAAATTTAGCAAAATCATAGTAACCGACCATGGGAAGGTATAAATCTGAAATGGTACAAATCGGACCACAGGGCTTTTCTCTACGTGAATTCAAACTTTTGGAAATTTAACATGGGCCTTATGGGTTAATTGGTTGCCATGACATTATTTACGAGATAACAATAAAAAGGTAAACAAGAGTCGCAACATATGTTAGTCAACGAATCATCTAAATAGCATATTACAAATACCAAATACCATACAGAGAAAAAGGGAAGAACAATCGGATTAATATCATTGAGTATAATTTACTACAAAATGAAATACCAATAATTATGGTCGGCGGAATAAGGCTGATGCACCATTGACTTTAAATAATCCAAATAGCCATTCCATTTACGTGAACCAAATCTAGCCTACGTACAATTGAGTTTGGATACTGCAAGTAGACATTCCATTGACATGAACCAGGCGTACTATTGACTTTGGATACTGCAAATAGACACTCCATTTATGTGAATCAAATGAACCACTGCTTTGGATACTCCAAGTAAACAATTCGTTTACGTGAACCCGACGTATCATTGACTTTGGATACCGCAAGTAAACATATCGTATCATTAACTTGGAATACTGCAAATAGACATTCCATTTATGTAAACCGTCAATGGCGTACCATTGACTTTGGATAATGCAAATAGGCATTTTATTTATCCGAACCAAATGAATCATTGACATTGGATACTGTAATTAGACATTTATGAGAACCAGATGAAACATATGCTTTGGTTTCTGCAATTAGACAATTCATTTGCGTGAACCAGACTTATAATTGACTTAGAATACTGCAAATAGACATTCCATTTAAGTGAACCAAATATACCATTGACATTGGATCTGCAAGTATTTAATCTCATTTGCGAGGAACATATGTAAAATTGACTTTAGAAAAGTATTGTATTAATATGCTAGCTCCGCTCAATATTGCAAGCATACAACTGCATTGCACACCTAGTATATATGGTTTTACTTTAATGGCTTTTTTTACTTGGATTTGAATAGGCCTATGGTAGATACTTGAATACTTTAAATTTAATTGGCAACCACACAAAGGTAGGTATTTTAAGTTTAAGCCAAGTATGAATGGAGAGAAGTGTAGGATGAGTGATAGGATATCTTGTAGTATTGTTACTTACTAAGACCAACATTTTTACTTAGACGTGACTGTTAATTAATAGCCCATATAGCCAATGGCTAAATTGGGACCTACAGCTTATTGTAGAATCCAATCCACATTTTTTGCTTGTAATTCACGAATTGGTCTAATTATCAGGATAGCATTGCGGATAGTCGTAGTACTCACTTGTGCCGACGTTAATCCACACCAGGGAGTATCGCATCCACAGATCATCCCTTTAAATATCCACAATTCAATTTTGATATAAGACTCCACCGGTCCAACAGATTGTAGGAAATATCAATTTTTTGTAGGCCTATATTGATCTACCTTATTGATATTTACTATTAGACTGTACTTTAATTGATTTGATTTGATTCAATAACAAGATAATACACGCATAACTTATGTCGTATAGGCCTAGCTATTAATTCATATGGTTGTGCTAGGTTAAATAGGTTTTTTACTATTTGTATACATATTAGTTACTTGATACAAGTGAAAATACCGATAGTTTTTGTTTCGATAGATTTTGTAAGTTTGATAGAGTTGTATGTCAAAGTTTTGCACCAAATACATTGATTATCAATTTTTGAGAGTTTCATTTTATAAAGTCATCAAATTTTGCAGAATTACCATGAACCAAGGGCCTTTAATAGTGAGGAGCTGACAGAAGTTGCTAAACTATCGAGCCTCCCTCGCTTTGATGAAATCCTCTCTCACATACTTGTGCCTCGAGTGGTTGGATCAGATGGACATAGGAAAGTCAGAGAGGTGAGTGCTTCAAGGGACAAACTTAGCTTCATGCCTAACTTTCTTTGTTATTCTTATCCATTATCCACTTGGTAGATGCAAAAATAACTCATTTGTTAGTAAATTAATCCTTGGATAACTTATAAATTGATAAGAAGTACAAAAAATGTTGTATTATAAAATTAGTTAGTTTTTTACTTTGACTGTTGCGTTGTTAAATTATAATTGGTAGATGGTGTAAGTTAAGCACAGTAGTTCAGTTTCAATGTTAATTTGACTGACTGCACCATTATCTTTTTTAGCTTAATACCAACGGACAAGGAACAGTTAAAAAATACATTTTTATACAACGGTAGAGTTTATTTTTAATAATTATTTTATAACATCAAAACACACTCTATGTTCATTGAACAAAAAAAGTAGCTAACTTACCTTAAAACTGTATTCAGCTAAAGATAATGAATTCCTAAGATTAGGTAGCTACCTAGTCATTGTGAAGAGGTGTAAAGGTGTCAGTACCGCTACCGCATAGTGGAGCCTGTTCTTCCGCTGTCTTCCAGCTCCTGATTTTAATAATTATTTTAGCAATGTGTTATGTGACAACTCCAATGGAAGCAATGACTTTTTGTCAGTAGCCTATGCATGAGTTGAACCACTGCACCTCAGTTTTGTGTGTATCCCACAAGATATGGGCAAATATGTAGCCTACTACCCCTTCATTCATGATTGCAATGAAAAATTTCCATAATAACTACAGTTGTTTATATAGCTAATAATTGTAATGAAACTGTGACCCAATAAAATTAGTATTTCAATATTTGAATCCAATTAATATTGGGGGTGTAATGTTTTATTTGACTACTGTCAGGATGGAATAATGGAGGATACGACCACCAGTTTTAAAGAGAAGCCTCTATATAGATTTCTAGGTAAAACAAACTTGTTTGATTCCAGGAGCCCTCATGCTAGTCCTTTGTGTAAACTGTGTGATACATCTCCACAGCAACCTCCTCACAATACCCGTGCCTATAAATGTATTTTTCATTCATTGAGGTAATGTCTACGTCCACCTCTAATTTCAGCTCTACTTCTTCACTATGTGACTAACCCAAGTGCGTTGTTTGATAAATTTATAAAAAATAAACTTTTTATTCATCTAATATTGTATTTAATTCCATATTTTCTATTTTATAGTACATCACTAGCCAGTTACGAGGCCTGGGCTGGTCAGTAGAGCACCAAGAGAGTGTGCAGACGACTCCGCTGTTTGGTCAGCTGACTTTCACTAACTTAATTGCTCGGCTGAATCCATCAGCTGACAGGTATCTAACACTGGCATGTCACTACGACAGTAAACACATGCGGGAGGGAGAGTTTCTGGCAGCGACGGACTCCGCCGTCCCTTGTGCGATGATGTTAGATTTGGCTCACGCTTTGTCACATCGGTTGGAGCCTTTTAAAAAGTCGGTGAGTGAAAAAAAAATGTTTCAGTACAAAAAGAACACAGAACAAAATAAGTGTAGTGATTTGTACATTTGCTTCTTATTCATGTTATTTACCGAGAATAAAATGGCTTGATTTGAAACTCGTTTTTCGTGTCTAGTTCATGTACGATGATACTGAGTGCTAATGTCAATGAAATTTTGTTTCTATTATTTTAGGGTTATTTTCTTGATTTGTGCTTCACTTTTTGGTTGTATAACCAGTGGGCCATAGCCATTGTGATTAGCCTATATTGTACTGTTTGAACCAACAATAAGATTGTCTTCAGCTGTTCCATAAGGATGAGAAGTCTACTAAGTTAGTATGTTTTATCCTTGCTTAAACTAACATGATCTGTTACGTTTTTTTTTTAGAACTTGAGCCTTATGTTACTATTCTTTGATGGTGAAGAAGCATTTGTAACATGGAGTGCAACAGATTCCCTTTACGGATCTCGCAGCTTGGCCCAGACTTGGGAGAAGCGCAAGTATCCACATGCAAGATCCGACACTACGGAACTTCACAGGATAGTAAGTAGCAAACTCAACTGCTCTATATCATCCAATATGCGTGAAGTATTGTTATAATAAATGGGACTTGAATTTCTCTTGTAAAAATATTATTTTGAAAAATCAATGAGTCTATTGGGAGTGATTACAACAGTAGGTAGTTAGTTTCTAGCATCTGTTGTGTTATAGTGAGTGATTTCAATAATTAGTTTCTAACTTCTGGTGTGTTATAGCGAGTAAAAGTTAGTTTCTAACCTCTGGTGTGTTATAATGAGTGATCACAACAGATAGTTTCTTTGTGCTGTTGGAAAATATGATTTTCTTTCTTATACACAAACTTTTTAGTCATGCCAAACTGAAAGAGCAGCCTACTAATAGATTACAGCATCTTTTAAGGCCTCATTAGTTAAAGTATGACAAACTGTAGAGAGAAGATCTTCAATGGTGGCACACTTCATAAAATAATCTTACAAAAGTTATTTTTCTCAACCTGTTTTGCATATCTCCCTAGGTAGTTCAAATGAGCAACAAACCAACATCTAATTCTGTGATTTATCTTATGAAAACAATAATCATCCTATTATTTATTATGGCCATTTGTCATTAACACTAAGTTTAATTAACCTGAACTTGTTTTGAAAACTAATGTTCTGCCCGTGTGAATCATTCACACTAAAACCTTCTCAAATCCCACTTGAAGCACTCAAAATACAGTTATTCTGTGTAATAAGTGCAACGTTGATTTCAGGAATAAATGTGGGTTTAAATTTAAGATAATTAGGCTAAACTTTTCAAAATATAATGTTAAGTTTTTATGTAATTACATGTTTACATGATCTATTTGAACACTGTACTTGAAGTAATAATATGGCCATACGATTTTTTGTATACGATACGATATGATTTTTGTTTTGATGGCTAAATATAAAAGCTAAAGAATCCGTGTGGTACTTACTTTTGAGTTGTTCTAGTTTAGACTTCTTTAAAGTGAATAGTCCTAAGCTTATTCTGATTTAATCAGATTAAGACATCCGGGGTTTTATTGAAGAAAGCACAACCTAAGTTTGTTTGTTGTTTTTACGTCATGGATGAAGTAAACACAGAACACTTGGATTTGAAAAATAAAGATATGTTTCTTTTCATTAATTTAATTCACATGTTTCAGCTGATCAAATAACGTAAATAAACATTTCAAGTCTAAATCCCTTACAAAATGGTATAATAGATCATTTTTACAAAAAACTATTGAAAAATGAGTGGTTTGTATAATTTCCCCATGTAGTGTGTAAAAAGAGCTTTAAAATGACACCTCATTTATGGAAATTGGTGAAGAATTAAGGAAGTTATGGCCTATCGAAAAAAAAAAACACTGTAGAAATGATAATATATATAGAGATAATTTATTGTCAAACAAAACTAAATTTATTATTTTTGAATAGTAACACAGAATACATATTTTATAAAATGATAACTTATCAATCAATCCCAAGTTTTAGAGAAAATAATGAAATATTGTAACACTTTGGTTTACAGTTATGCCTAGCCTACTATTGAAGAAAAATTATTTTTAACAGGAAATGACATTCATATAAGGGAAATGCTCTTGAAAAACCAAATAGAATAATACTTGTGGTAATCAATATTAAATTGGCATTAAGGTTCAAGTTCAACTCTTATGATAAAAGGAAACAGTCACATTTTAATCCAGGAAAGCTTATCTGATAGACAGATTGTTATTTTTAGGTTTCTTTGTTGTTGTTTTTAATTTTTATTTCTATGATAAGGTTCTTTGTAAATAATAAACATTATTCTTTAAAGTTGAGAGAAACTTAAGTGGTTTTCTCCTCATTTATAATTTTTCAGCTAAGTTTTATTTTGCAATGATTTAATAAAAAAAAAAAAAACTTTTTCAGCGATGATAATTCATTCACCAATTTTTACATCTACCGATTGGTAAACTAGGTTACATACTACTCTTGAAGTAATTCGATATCATATATGGGTGTCGAGGGAGCAACATCAAACGACCTTCAGATTTTATGATGATTGGGACATAAAACTTATGTTACAACTACACGAATCAATCATTCACCAACAATTTCAATTTATCACATGATAAAATAATAAATCCTATATTCTAATACGAGCTATGTCTTTCTGTCTGTCTGTAATATATATCTGGGAATCAAGCAGAAGGATTTTGACTAAATTTTGGAATTTGGTACTTATTGCCTTAAAAACGTGATTGGTGACAGCCACTACCTCAGGAAAATTCCTATTTCGCTCCACAACTCGTTTGAAAATTAAAAAATTTTACATTAGCTTTATGGGTTGCCAAGTAACTATGTTGGTTGAACAAAATAAAAATTAGGCCCCTAAACAAAACACTTACTACAAGCCATCCACAGTATACTAGTAAATTATAAAATACAGTACAGCACAAAGTGATAACCATCAGTAGTTGATGTAACTATTGAGTAAAGATTACATTGAAGATCACTCGATATATGGGAAAATAGAGCAAGTCAGTGTTGATAAATGGTGAGTGTTTTGTGTTGGTGCCGTTTCAGTGCACTGGTATCAACTCAATGTTTCACTTTTACTAAGTGTAGATTTTAAAATTTGTATGCACTCTTTTTTATATTTTACATAATTTGGACAGTTGTATTCATAACGAATTGAAATTCCACTGGAACTTAAATAATCAAAGCCAAAATTTGTTGTAAAAACGTGAGCTTTCCTTTATATTACAATTGAAATAAACTATACCGAGCCATGGCTCTGTCCCCTGGTACTAATTATTAAATTAAAAGAACTTGAAGTAGGCCTATTAATTATGGGCCTATTGTGTAAATGTATTAATGAATTAGTATTTTGAAATATTGATAAACAAACCATAAGGTTACATTGTACATTGTGTTATAAATGAGGGAATCATAAATTGAATATTTTAGGACGGTTGTCAATTTATTCACAGTATTATCATAGTCACAATTAACAAAAGTACCGGGGGAACAAGCCATGGCTCGGTGTAGTTTATTTCAATTGTAATTTAATAGCAATATAAAGGAAAAACTTAAGGATACTCTCTAAAATACTCTCGTATGATGGATTGGCTGAAGACTGATTAATTAATTAAGAAAAAGAAGAATTTGGGACTAATTCATTCAAACATTGTTTACTATGAAGATTTATTGCAATACAATGAACTCAATTAACTTTATTACTAATTCAACTGGTAAATTATGTTAATTATGAAAAAGAGTGCATACAAATTTTAAAATCTACCCTTAAATAAGAGTAAAACATTCAGTTGACGCCAGTGCACTCAAATGTCACTAACACGAAACACTCTTTAACACTTGCTCTATTTCCCCTATATCGAGTTATCTTCAGTGTAATCTCTGTTCAATAGTTACAACTGATGTGTTTTCCTAATTGTACAGTATTTTGTAGTTTGCTAGTGTACTGTGGATAGCTTGTTATAAACACATGTTAAAAGTATTTTGTTTTCTTTTTCCTTGTTATTTGGTTCAAACAACATAGTTTTTTGCTAACTCCTAAGGTCAATGTAAATTTTTTTAATTTTCATATGAGTTGGGTAGCAAAATACAAATTTTCCTGAGGTAGTGCCTATCCCCAATCAAGTTGTTAGGGCTATAAATCCCTAATTTAAAAAAAATTGTCATAATCCTCCACCTGGATTTCGAGATATATATTACAGACAGACAGATAGACGGACAGACAAACAGACATAGCTCGTATTAGGCTATAGATAGATAGATAGAGTATAGGATAGAATTGTTACTTGGCAACCCATAAGGCCAATGTTAAATTTTAAAATTTTCAAATGAGTAGTGTAGTGAAATACAAAATTTTCAGAGGTACTGTAGGCAAGAGTTAAGAAGTGTCCTGGGCCAGAGCGATATGCAGCAATGTTAAAATGTTGCCGCACGGTATTTGCAGGTGCACCTCCCTTTCTAAGCAAGGAGCGAGTGACATTTCGCAGAAAGACGCATGTCGAATACAACGACAACAGATGAGTAAATACAGTGAATATCGCTTTAGTTACTTCAGTGCAACACAAGTATTTTTACCGTGATGGTGGTTTTGCAGTATAGTATTATGGAAGACGTTAGGAAACGTGTGGAAACGATTGTACAACAATCGCAATGCATTGTAGTTTTCTTGTTACCTTACGGTATGAAGATTTTAAGTAAACAGCATTTTTTTATTATTCAAATAATCGAACACACAATATTGGTGAGTAATTAACAACTATGAACTTTGGCTATATAATATATACAGAACGTTAATTTTACACGAACATTAACATGTTTTTTTTTTTTTTTATTGGTTCGGCCCAGCCATTTTGACGTACATGTATTGTACTTCTACAATATAAATAAAGTTGAACACTAAAAATAAATTAAAATCACAGTTGTCTATTTTAGTTTTAACGCTGTGGATGTGAGCCCTGACTGCCGGGTGGAAGTGAGCATACGTCGAGCCGTCAAGTATCAAGCGCCTGCATTTTTAGAATAGACCAGGGCTCAGAGGACTTCTTAACTCTTGCCTACAGTAGTGCCTGTGACCAATCACTTTTTAATAAATCCTTCTGCTGGATTTCGTGATATATATTACAGACAGAGAGACACACAAACAGACGGACATAGCTTGTATTAGAGTATAGGAATCCACACCTTTAATATTAAGAAGCCTTTAAGGTTAGTTAATATTTTTATAACACTAACATAGCTTTTTAACTATTTTTAAGTTTTGAGTTAACATTTTTGAGTTTGTAACAGTTTTATATCAGATCATTTACAAATACAACAAATTACCAGTAGTCATTAAATCTGAAGAAAACAGCTAATATTTATTGATCGGTGAGTTGACAAATATGTATGAAGATTAGCTTTGGGTCTGTAAAAACTCTTGCTTAAGCTACTGTGAGCAAAAGTGTTCTGGGGTTCCGGTTAAAAGTTTGTGTAATTAATCTGTTATTTGTGCACCAGGTGGTTCGCAAGTTTGCGGAAATATTTTTGCAATAAGCAATTAAGCATATTTGTGACAAAAATAAAGTTTTTAACACACTGTACAACTCCAATGTTATCATAAAAAAAGTTCCATTTCTGCTGCAGTTTCCTTGTTTAATAACCAGAATCAACATTCTTTACTGTCATTAAGTAAATTAAAATACGGAAGTACCCTGAAAACATTTTATTTCAGGGTACTTCGGTATTTTAATTTACTTAATAACATTTAAACAAAGTAGCCCTCATTGGTGTAAATACTAACAAAATTCTTTACTTTATATGCATAATGGAATAGAAATACTATTTGATTCAGTTTGGCAAGGACCTGTTAATTGACCTGTTAATTGATGATAACTTTGAAGAAAATAAAAACTCATTCAAATGGGTTTTTTTACTTAAATTGCTGATTGAATATAAGTAATCATGGAATGTTGGAATACAAACTCAATCAAACAAGTGGAAATTAATCAGCAGGTTTGCTTTAATAGAGGTATTTCTTACCTTACTGTATTTTACACAGGAACATTGTTGTGTGCTTTGGAATACTGTTGTTTTTTATAAGTAATCATACATAACCTTATATACTTCTTGTGGTTTTGATTATCTGTAGAGTAATAAGTATTAGTGTGTTATAAATGATAACTTATCCAAGGATGTGTTTAAATAATATTTGTTTGTATACAAAATCTTATTCTTATCACATTCGCTTTGAATAAATGCAAAATGTATTCAACCTTCTTCAGTTTAGTGCAAATTGGCCCAAGGTCTAACAAACAAGTTAATGAATTCTCACATGTCATTCACATGTTAAAAGTCACACTCTTTAAATCTGTACAGCCATCAACCTTTTATCCTTCAAGTTATTCTTGACACATTTTGCAAGTTGTTGATGAAATAAAATAAAATTCATTGAACTTTGCTTTAAAAAAAAAACAATCAGAAGGTGCTATAAATTTGCTTTCAGGTTGTGGGAATTTTTGGTGTATTCTGTTTTTTTGTCCTAATTTAGACATTCTATTCTAGTTATTCTACATTCTATTTAGTTAAGACAAAAGCTGTGTAAAATAAAAAATGTGATACCAACGGCCAGCCAACATGCTGTAACTACTTTTATTATTCATAGTACCAGGGGACCTAGCCATGGCTCGGTATAGTTTATTTAGATTGTAAACGCAATACATATAAAGGAAACCCATGTTTTATGTACAACTAGTTTTGGCTTTTATTATTTCAGTTTCAGTGGAATTTCAATTTATTATGATGGAAATTTTCCTAAACACATCTGTCCAAATTATGTAAACTATAAAAAAAGAGTGCATACAAATTTAAAATCTACCCTTAAATAAGAGTAAAACATTTGAGTTGACACCAGTGCACTCAAACGTCACCATCACGAAACACTCATCAACACTAGCTTTATTTTCCCCTTTATCGAGTAATCTTCTGCGTAATCTTTGCTCAATAGTTGCAACTGATATTTTCCCCTTTTTGTACTGTATTATGTAGTTGGCTAAAAGCTAGTACCAATGGTATTCATTGCTAGTACAGTGGATGTCTTGTTATCGGCAGGAATTGGGCATTACTGAAAGACTGTTCTCGTGGGAAAGATTTGAGACCAGTGATGACATGTCTAAATACAATGCTCTCCTAAATTTATGTTGAATATCACAGTAAACAGTCCGTTTTAACAAGTTTTTGGGGACGTCGGTATAACCGGAAAACCCGTTATCCGGACTGGCCTCGGTCCCAAGGAGTTCGGATAAGAGGGAGTCTACTGTATGTATACCTATGGATTTATTTGTTTACAGTGTTATACTCATTTGACATTTCCATCAAGTAACAGTATAATATTAGGTCTAGGCTATTTTAGAAGTAAATTACATTTTTTAACATAAATAACATCATGTTTTAAATGTGCTATTCTGTATATATTCATTTAAACTCTAAATGGGCTTTGATCTACACTTTTCCCGCATTAAAAATAAATGCAGTACAGTTACACATTTTTTCAGGATCTGTTGGTACTTCTGGATTTGCTGGGGACTCCTCAGCCTTCTTTCTACAGTTATTTCCGCAAAACACAAAGTTGGTATTTGCAAATGGTTGCTGCAGAAAGGAGCCTTACTGACATGAGGCTGTTGAAGAAGATTAACAATGAAGTTTACTTCAACAGAATGCATCTCGATGCTCATATTGATGATGACCATATGCCCTTCCTTGAGCGAGGTATGTACCTAAACCTACTAGCCTATTTATTTTCTACCTGAATAGATATAAACATTACTCAATTAATACTGACACAGTAGACTTTCTTTCCTTTGGACACCTCGAAACAGGACACTGGTTAAAAAAAAAGTGTGAAAGATCCCAATATCCGAAGGTAGTATAACAGTAGGTAGTATTAACAGATATGCTTCAAAACCACACATTACGAGTGCTAAATGATGGTTGGGGAAACCAACCAGTGGTGTGGTTGTACATTTTACATTGTGAGAATGCTCACCATTGCCGTAGTAGAAAAAATACAGGTTGCCTATTCAACATACAGGTTCTTTGGAAACGGCAGAGTGAGAACACCGTTCTCACGTGTTCTTGCCCCACTACACCACTGAAACCAACATTACAATCTGTACTTTACTAGATGAATGGGGTGTGAATTGGTTATTTGAGAGACACAGTGGTAAGTGTGTGAATATTACACGTTTGAACCATCCAAAGTCCAAACAAACTATCCATTGTCGGCTTTAAAATGTTTGGAAAAGGGTGAAAAGTTGGCTCATTTCTCTAAGGAATCGAATATCGGGCATTTAACTATAAACGACATAAATAATGAACACAATTCTTTAAGAGGAGTAGTGAATCATCTTCCAAGGTAAGAAAGAAATTAAAAGCAGGTGAATTTCGGCAAGTAGAAGATGCACTTTATAATAGGTTCATGCAAGAAAAGAGCCGACACACGCCTATTTCAGGCAATATTATCATGGAAAAGGCAAAACTATTTTATAACAAAATTATGAGAAATAACAACTTTTGTGCAAGTGTTGGGTGGCTAGATAAATTCAAACGGTGCTTTGGAATTCAATTGCTAACTTTAACTGGATAGAGGCTTTCGTGTGGTTTAGAGGCTGCCGAGCCTATTGTTGAAAAATTTAAAGAAATCGTGGATGAAATGAACTTAGGCCCAGATCAGATCTACAATGCTGTCGAGAGTGGTCTGTTCTGGCGTCTTTTGCCAAAACAAAAATTTGTTCATAGAGAGGAAGCTAGCGCCCCAGGTCGCAAGTTGGCCAAAGATAGAGTAACTTTTATGCCGTGATGTAATGCTAGTGGCACGCATAAATTAGAATTGCTGGTTGTTGGGAAAGCCAAAAAGCCAAGGGCTTTCAAAAACACACAGTTGCCGGTTTCATACACAAATTCGACAAAGGGATGGATTGACCAAAACAAAACTCTTTATTCGGAATGGTTTCATAAAATTTTGTTCCATCGGTAAAAAATTTTTTGAAAACACGGAAATTGCCTCAAAAAGCCCTTTTGTTGTTAATAATTGTCCTGGACATCCAGATGAGGATGAGTAAAAAAGTAGGGATGGAAAAATCACTGATTTATTTTTGCCCCCTAATGTAACTGATACTCCAGCCAAAATGTGATCCAAACTATAATAACAGATTAAAAAAAAAAACCCTGTTGTACAGTATTTTGTCAAAAGAGGTCTTGTTACAGGTCTGAAGGAAACCAACCTGAAAGATGTTGTTTTTTTAGCGAATTTCCCATATAGGGAATAAGCTATTACCGTAGTACTCATGGTAAGACCTGGACCCGGGACCGATTTACTTTTTCGTTTTGAGGTCCCTAGAGGCCAAAAACACCATGCATTCAAATTCATATATATATATATATATGTGTGTGTGTGTGTGTCCTTGAGCACGATAACTCGAGCAAAAATGATCCGATTTTGATGAAATTTGGTACAAATGTGTAAATCTACATTTATTCTAACAAGTTCGCGAACCAGCATCATCGGACTATGGGAAGGAGGGTTTCTGGGGGGTTTTATGGGGTAAAAATAGGTTTTTCCCGTTTTCGACCCTAAAAATACACAATTTTACAATTTCTTTCCAAACCATTTTGTAGAGCTTAAAAAAACAAATAATTTAGTATATTGATGCGTTATTATGCGCCTAATGGTTACAGAGAAAATTCCAAAAAATTTATAATTTAAAATTCCCATGTTATTCTTGTGGAGAATAAGTCAACTGTTATAGTTTGCTTGTTTATGAACAGTACCTGGGGACCGAGCTTTGCTCGGGGAAAATCATTAGTTCACTCTGAAAGCAGTCTTAGTATTGGAGATACATAAATCCATTCCCAACCTCCACACGGCTCGCCTTTACTACGTCCTACACCATTTCCTACGTCATGGACCTGTTTCCCTCCATTCCCATAGCACTTTAGGATTGTAGATACCTTAATCTAATCGTTATTAACAGTTCCCACACTCTGGACAGCTCGCATTGACTACTTCCTTCACCACTTCCAACGTAGCGAACCTGTTTTCCTCCCTTACCATAGCATTTCAGAATTGCAGACACCTTAATCTAATCGTCATAAACAGTTCCCACGCTCCATACTACTCGCCTTTACAACTTCCTTCACCACTTCCTACGTCGCAAACCTGTTTCCCTCCCTTCCCATTGCATTTAAAGATTGCAGATACCTTATAATCTAATCGTCATAAACAGTTCCCACACTCCGGACTACTCGCCTTGACTACTTCCTTCACCACTTCCTAAGTCGCGGACCTTGTTTCCCTCCTTTCCCATAGCATTTTAGGATTGCAAATACCTTAATCTAATCGTCATAAACAGTTCCCAAACTCCGGACAACTCGCCTTGACTACTTTCTTCACCACTTCCTACGTCGCGGACCTGTTTTCCTCCCTTCCCATAGCATTTCAGGATTGCAAATACCTTAATCTAATCGTCATAAACAGTTCCCACACTCTGGACAGCTCGCATTGACTACTTCCTTCACCACTTCCAACATAGCGGACCTGTTTTCCTCCCTTCCCATAGCATTTCAGAATTGCAGACACCTTAATCTAATCGTCATAAACAGTTCCCACACTCCGGACCACTCGCCTTGACTACTTCCATCACCACTTCCTATGTCGCGGACCAGTTTTCCTCCCTTTCCATAGCATTTTAGGATTGCAAATACCTTAATCTGATCATCAAAAACAGTTCCCACGCTCCAGATAGCTCGCCTTGACTACTTCCTTCACCACTTCCAAAGTCACGGACCTGTTTCCCTCCCTTCCCATAGCATTTTAGGATTGCCCATACCCTTATCTAATCGTCACAAACAGTTCCCACACTCCGGACAGCTCGCCTTGACTACTTCCTTCACCACTTCCTACGTCACGGACCTGTTTCCCTCTCTTCCCATAGCATTTTAGGTTTTCCCTTACCCTTATCTAATCGTCATAAAAAGTTCCCACATTACGGACAGCTCGCCTTGACTACTTCCTTCACCACTTCCTACGTCGCGGACCTGTTTTCCTTCCTTCCCATAGCATTTTAGGATTGCAGATACCTTAATCTAATCGTCATAAACAGTTCCCACACTCCGGACAGCTCGCCTTGACTACTTCCTTCACCACTTCCTACGTCGCGGACCTGTTTCCCTCCCTTCCCATAGCATTTTAGGATTGCCCATACCCTTATCTAATTGTCATAAACAGTTCCCACACTCCGGACAGCTCGCCTTGACTACTTCCTTCACCACTTCCTACGTCGCAAACCTGTTTCCCTCCCTTCCCATTATATGATTGCAGATACCATAATCTAATCGTCATAATCAGTTCCCACACTCCGGACTACTCGCCTTGACTACTTCCTTTACCACTTCCTACGTCGCGGACCTGTTTCCCTCCCTTCCCATAGCATTTTAGGATTGCAAATATCTTAATCTAATTGTCATAAACAGTTCCCACACTCCGGACAGCTCACATTGACTACTTCCTTCACCACTTCCTACGTCACGGACCTGTTTCCCTCTCTTCCCATAGCATTTTAGGTTTTCCCTTACCCTTATCTAATCGTCATAAAAAGTTCCCACATTACGGACAGCTCGCCTTGACTACTTCCTTCACCACTTCCTACGTCGCGGACCTGTTTTCCTTCCTTCCCATAGCATTTTAGGATTGCAGATACCTTAATCTAATCGTCATAAACAGTTCCCACACTCCGGACAGCTCGCCTTGTCTACTTCCTTCACCACTTCCTACGTCGCGGACCTGTTTCCCTCCCTTCCCATAGCATTTTAGGATTGCCCATACCCTTATCTAATTGTCATAAACAGTTCCCACACTCCGGACTACTCGCCTTGACTACTTCCTTCACCACTTCCTACGTCGCGGACCTGTTTCCCTCCCTTCTAATACCATTTTAGGATTGCAGATACCTTAATCTAATCGTCATAATCAGTTCCCACACTCCGGACTACTCGCCTTGACTACTTCCTTCACCACTTCCTACGTCGCGGACCTGTTTCCCTCCCTTCTAATAGCATTTTAGGATTGCCCATACCCTAATCTTATCGTCATAAACAGTCCCCACACTCCGGACCGCTCGCCTTTATTACTTCCTTATCACTTCCTACGTCACGGACCTGTTTCCCTCTATTCCCATAGCATTTTATGATTGCCTTTACTACTTTCTTCACCACTCCCTACGTCGCGGACCTGTTTCCTTCCCTTCCCATAGCAATTTAGGATTGCAGATACCATAATCTAATCGTCATAAACAGATCCCAGACTTCGCACTGCTACCCTTGACTACAATAATATCGAGTAATCTTCAGTATAATCTTTGCTAAATATTAACAAGGGATTATTTTCCTTTTGTACTGTATTTATAATTTGCTAGTATATTGTGGGTAGTTGGCTTATTACGAACACATGCCACAACTTCAAGTCTTTTGTTTACTTTTTCCTTGTTATTTAATTCAGCCAACATGGTTACCTAGCAACCCATAAGACTAATGTTAAAAAAATGTGATTTTCAGTTTCATTTTTCTACGTAATTAGATTTTTGTTGGCAGTTCTAACTGCAGTAAACTCGTTTTTAGGCCAGAAATAAACTATTTACAACATTTGAAGAAAATCGTCGGAGCCGTATTCGAGATCTTTTTTGCAAGCAAGCAAGCATACATACATACATACAAGCAAACATTGCTCGTATTAGAGTATAGGATATTTTGATCAAATTTTGAAAATACGTTCATTTCTTACTAAACTACAGTATTACCATTTTACAACAAAAAACAATTTTTATCCTCCCTGTTGCAGCAAACCTAAGTACTCGTTATACTAATTATATTTAAATAGGGAATAAATATGATAGTTTTAAGGAGACATTTGAGTTTGTGAGTCGGATATAAACAGCTCATGATTTAAGTGAAAATATTCATACATTAAAGAATCAGAATGTTGTTGGGATACAGTAGTTGCTTAATTCCAAATACTGTATAGTTGATCACAAACTAGAAGAAACTGAATGCAGTATGAACTTCTTGCAGATAGAGAATCAAATGAAAAACTATGATATTTTTTTAACTAGTTATGCAACCTTTAATGACAAAAATAAAAATATGAACTATGAGCATTGTTACAACTTGCCTTTGTTCTCAACCTGTGTAAAGTGACCACAATCACACATAGATTACACACACTTCTATTTCCATGTTAATTAATTACCCATACTAGTGGCTGATAAAACGTTTGGTAGCTGGTTAGTTCTGATTGGTAATATAGTTATTATTGTTTGTTAGTAATTTGTTAGTAAATTGTTGATTTGGGCATTGTTAACTCTCGTACATTTAAAAACTTTAGGTACCATTCTGTAATATTGTTTATAATTGGTAATTTTTTCCAGGCGTTCCATGTCTACACATCATTCCTACTCCATTTCCGACAGTTTGGCACGAGCTTTCCGACAACTACAATGCACTAGACATGCCAACTATCGACAACTTAAACAAAATACTCAGGGTCTTTACTTTAGGCTACTTAAGAGGGGGTGCCAGAACTAAAACAAAAAGGCCTAGAAATGTAGATGTTTCTACATATGACTTATAACGTCCAAACTGTTTTAAAATAGGAGACTCGGCAAACCTACTGTACTGATCTATAGCCAATGAAAATTATGTAACATAACTTAACTTGTCACATTTTCATTTAAATATCAACATTTTACATTAGAGTTTATGTTGGGGTTTATAAAACTCAAACTAAAGCATTGACAGGGATCCAAAACAGTACGGTTTTATGAATGACGCTGTTACACAGTTTATCAAGTTTCTGGTCTCTAACAGTCAAAAGCTTGTTCAGGAACGGAAATTTAACCGTCCAACATTTCTAAAGTTGAAAGTTAAGGGCTTTTGTTGGTGAAACTTAGTTCCTCCGTAATGACATTCCAACAAAAAATATTGTATAAACAAAATTTTAAAACAACATTAGCATTTTTACATTTTAATTACTGTTAATCCATCTTGATATTTTGGCAGCTTAAGTATTATTAGTGTAAGTATAGGCTAGACAATGGTTGTAAGGGTATAGAATATTTTTATATTTAATCAAATGGATTAGTTTTGTAATTTAATCATACATTATGAGGGTGTTACATTTTGGTAGGTAAAAATAGATTTGCTATATATGCTGACGATGACGATACTTAATTTAATTTATTTCTGTTAGCTTATTAGCATGTACATGGTGCAGCATAAAAACCGATCTATTTTCTGCAGCACACTGTTCAGCGACAGGTAGTCTGAGGGTGGTTGAAGTAGGTTCGTTTGAAAGCCTACACGATGCCATTATCTGTAGTCATAGACCAGGGTTGTTGTCACTTGAGCAGCGTGAATTTGTTTTCGAGTCTTTAAAAAAAAGTAATGATTCAGTCATTGCAACTCAACAGCATTTCCATGCATTCTTTAATTTAGGTCGACATGGAGAGGTTCTGTCGCAAATATGTGTATGGATAATCAACAAAATTAAACAGAATAATACTAATTAATCCGTATGGATAAGAGTTAAGATCGAACCTCAAAATTAGCGTAATCGAGCGGTCAGACATGTTCAAAGCAGATGCTTGTTTTCGGGAGGGCCCACGAGGATTGTGTTCCACAGCAGCACAAACTCTATTGCATGTTAGTTGTCTGGCATCCGATCTGCTTTGGATGGCTTATCAGCTTCGTTTTGAACACAGAAGCCGTTGTTATGAAGTTGGTAACACACTACATGAGTGTGCTACTTGACGGAATCCACGTCGCCCTAATTAAAAATTAAACAGGGCGTCTACCAGTCGGGAATTCCGGGATATTCGGGAAAAAGTCGGGGACTTTGAAAGGTCGGGAAAAGTCGTGAAAAAGTCATGAATTTCGGCCGAAAGTCGGGAATAATCTAACCTTTCAAAGTTAGGGATGAACAGGTTGCAAAACTTTAAAAAAATGTTCTGGATCTTATTTTCCTGATCATTGGGACGAGATTACATTTGAGGGGTGTGGGATGAATCGAAAATGCATCGGAATTCCAATTCGATTCAGTGATGATCAAAATAACGATTTGAATCATGGGCATTCAGTATCCATATACGTTATTGAATGAGTATCCATATACGTTATTGAATCCGTATCCAAAAACGTTTTTGAATCCGCATTTATACGTTATGGAATCAGTATCTATATACGCTATTGAATCAGTATCCATATATGTTTTTGAATCAGTATCCGTACGTTATTGAATCCGTATCCATACGATATTGAATCAGTATCTACATACGGTATTGAATCCGCATCCATATATGTTTTAAATCAGTATCCATACGTTATTGAATCAGTATCTATATACGTAGTTGACTGTTACATCGATACTGTTACTTTGACTATCAGTATCCATATAACTTATTGACATTATTCAAATAATTGACATTAATTATATAAGTTATTCACCGAGACATTGCTTCGCCATACAAGTTATTACCATCCAAGTACATGGCATACACTGAGACATTGCTTAGCCATATACGTTTTTAGAATTGGTATCCATACCTTATTGAATCAGTATCTATATACGTTATTGAATCAGTATCCAAATACGTTTTTGAATCAGTATCCATACGTTATTGAATCAGTATCCAAAAACGTTTTTGAATCAGCATCCATACGTTATGGAGTCAGTGTCTATATACGGTATTGAATCAGTATCCATAATTACGTTTTTGAATCAGTATCCATACACTTTTGAGTCAGTATCTATATACGTTATTGAATCAGTATCCAAATACGTTTTTGAATCAGTATCCGATACGTTATTGAATCAGTATCCATACGTTATTGAATAAGTATCCAAATACGTTTTTTAATCAGTATCCATATACATAGTTGACTGTATGTTGACTGTTACATTGATACTGTTACTTTGACTATCAGTATCCATATAACTTATTGACGTTAATTATATAAGTTATTCACTAAGACATTGCTTAGCCATACAGGTTATTGCCATCCAAGTACATGGCATACACTCATACTAAAACATTGCTTAGCCATACAGGTTATTGCCATCCAAGTACATGGCATACACTGTGACATTGCTTAGCCATACAGGTTATTGCCATCCAAGTACATGACATACACTCACACTGAGACATTGCTTCGCCATACAGGTTATTGCCATACAAGTTATTGCTATCCAAGTACATGGCATACACTGAGACATTGCTTCGCCATACATGTTATTGCCATCCAAGTACATGGCATACACTGAGACATTGCTTAGCCATACAGGTTATTGCCATCCAAGTACATGGCATACACTGAGACATTGCTTCGCCATACAGGTTATTGCCATCCAAGTACATGGCATACACTGATACATTGCTTCACCATACAGGCTATTGCCATCCAAGTACATGACATACACTGAGACATTGCTTTGCCATACAGGCTATTGCCATCCAAGTACATGGCATACACTGAGACATTGCTTAGCCATACAGGTTATTGCCATCCAAGTACATGGCATACACTGAGACATTGCTTCACCATACAGGTTATTGCCATCCAAGTACATGGCATACACTGAGACATTGCTTCACCATACAGGCTATTGCCATCCAAGTACATGGCATACACTGAGACATTGCTTCACCATACAGGTTATTGCCATCCAAGTACATGGCATACACTGAGACATTGCTTCACCATACAGGCTATTGCCATCCAAGTACATGGCATACACTGAGACATTGCTTCGCCATACAGGCTATTGCCATCCAAGTACATGGCATACACTGAGACATTGCTTCGCCATACAAGAAGTTATGTATACCTTGTAGTTCTGATCCTATCCTCTTATTTTATCAATGTAAACCAATTGAAAGATTCAGTATTTAAATCTTACAAAGGTTTTCATTTGTTTACACCAAAACATATTTTTATTTATAAAATCAATAAAATAAAATAGGTAACATGCTTAACAACATGATGCTGCAAGTAAAAATTTTGAAATAGGCAAGAAGCTCACTGATATTTCTAGAAATACTGGTTCTTCTAATGTATGATTGAAAACAGATATTTCACTCCACTGACAAGTATGAATAGAAAAATTCCTTTGGCTTCGAATCGAGTTACATCAACATTTTTTGAAATCGAATCGTTGCTTTGAATTGAAATGTTTTGCTGCTTCACACACCCCTACATTTAATACGGGATTTTCTCAGCATGTGATTCGTTTCGATCGTCAGTGATTTCGCTGCGACGCGAGTGATAACATATGTTGACGAAGGTACCGTGACCACGAGACGGAAAAAGGTGTAGTAACATGGAGAATGGACCGAGTTTTTGGTCGGGATTTATATAAAAATGGTAATGAAAAGTCGGGAAATCCATTTGAGAAATCTGGTAGACACCCTGTTAAAGGAATGCATGGAACCTCCGCTGAGTTGCAATGACTGAATCATTACTTTTTAAATTCAACTCAACAACAAACTCACATTGCTCAGGTGCCCAATGCTCTATGGCCACAAATAATGGCATAGTGTAGGCTTTCCAACAAGCCTAGCCCCACCACTCTCAGACGCTGAATAGTGCGCTGCATAAAATTTTTGCCTTTTTTTATTTGTTTTCAAAGTGATGTCTGTGTGTGTGTGTGTGTGTGGATGTTCATAAGCTATTGCAACTTTTGTGATTTTTCCCATCATCATTGTTACCACAACCACTTACCCATGATAAAGGGTCTTGACAAGCTTATGGGAGAAAGTATGTGTAAAATTGCTGATACCGCTTATTTAATATGTACATATGTGTCTTACTAAAAAATAATAAGTTTATCAGTATCTTTAAATTTAAATCTGGAATCTAAACATGTTAAAAATCTCAACAAACTAGTCAAACAAATGTCAAATTAACAAGACTTGCTTGCAGTTGAATTTAAGCTTTTATTGGACCGCAATAAAACAAATTGTGCTGTGATTTTGTTACCTCTTTTAAGACTTTTATTAATATTTTTCACTTTTAGTTGATTGTTATGAATTTTCAGTGAGCACACTAGAAGGTTTTACCAAGGTAAAATAAAAGCAGCATTCAACTAATTCTATTGCTTTAAAACTGGGAGTACTGAACCCAATTCTCCATGCCCCTATGTTTTCAGTTTTTAGTGTCATTAATATTCTGGAAACTACGTGACTAAATAATTGCTTCAGTAAAAATCAATTTTAATGTCTGTAACTAGAACTACCAAATCAAACTTTACTAAATAAAAATTGTAATTAGTTCTTAATTTCAGTCCTGTTGGATTTAGTTGTAACCTTCCTACTATTTTTATTTGCTATGAATTTTTGCTATCGAATTAAACTTTTTTTAATTTTTTGAACTGATCATAACTATTTTGGTTAGAGACCTTAATGTATGGGTTTCTTCATATAGAGTTAAGAAATTTGAAGGTTTTTTTGGTGCCCCGTAATACATTCAGTGATTCAGAATATATTTTTCTTGCCACTTCACCAAAATTTACTTAGGAAGAATACTTGCTGAATGCTTTTACTTTGTTCATGAACTATCACTGTGTAGGTTGTGTTTTGTTATGAGTTATGAGTTAACATTTTGTTTCTTGTTATTTCAGTTATTGAAAACCTCGTTTAACCAAATGAAACGACTTAAACATAAACAATGACTTGTCTCCTAGTTGTATAACCATATAGGTGAACAGTAAAGCACAAATCATGAAATTAACCCTAAAATAATATAAACAAAGTATCGTCGACACTAGCGATCACTGATCAGTGTCACCAGACATGAAATTGACACAAAAGCAAGCTTCAAAATGTACAATGGGATAAGAAGTCTGCTTGTGTTGGTTAGTCTATTACTATATCTATTAGTTTTGTTCCAAATTTAATTCTGAATGAGTAGTAGATGGTTTCAGTTTCTATTTAGTTATCAATGAACGTTGGTTTAAACTACTTTTTAACACATTAAAATTAAATCATCACTATTTCACTATTAGATCACAATATGAAACTGACTAATGACAGAACTACACATTCAATCTTTATGTCCATTTAGTTCGAATGTCTATTATAGTACCCAAAAGTCAATTAAATATAGGAGTATGTATTTGGTTCTTGGTGTAGACCTACTATTGATGTATGGATACTTTTAGATTTCTTGTTTAAGAATTTACTTTTTAACACATTATAAGGCATTTATTTTTTTAGTTCTTGTGTAATGGTTATGTTTAACTACTTTTTGGAACACTTAACCATCATAAAAATGTCACTATTGAACTATGTTACAAAACTTAAATCCACTATTTTACAAAATATTTCTGTAATATGACATTTTAATCTTCTCAGTCATTCTAGAGACTCTTCTTTGGTTGGTTTGTTCCTCTGATCCGTCCATACCCTGTATATTTACTTCTTCAGCATCTCCCCCAAAAAGATAGTGATCATTTCTTAGTCTTATCAACATCTAAAATCAGGTACTGTTAATGTTAGCTTGGCTCAACATTTTATACAAAATATGTTACGTACTAGGATTGGAATTTATTTTTGACATATAGTTCTTAGCATTCATGACATGTAACCAAAATAACATATTCATGAACAAAAATTGTATTTGTAATTTTCTTGTTAAGTTTTGGATAATGTTTTTGAATTGTATACATTATGTTTAATTCTAATAACTGATACCTCTTTGATACCCAATGATGTTTTTTGGAATTGTAAGAAACTTAAATGTTTTGCTAAATATCTACATGTATTTATAAAGACAATCAAGAGCTTTAGATATATGCTTTTTTGTGGAAATAATTAAACAAATAAAAAAAATTTAATCTATAAGGTCCTTTAATACATCCCTCTAAACTGTTATACAATCCGGAATGTGAAAGTGTGTCCAGCACAGTAAGATTAATATTGTTATCTTACGGAAGAGTAAAATAGTGAAAGGTATTTTATTTTTGTAATGTTATTTATCATCATGGCAGTTCTTAGAACCAAGATCAAGGTAAGGTTCTTAACGGGATATGAACAACTAACTACAGTTATGAAAATTACCTGCTTTATAACGCAGACATGCTCAACCTTATTAGCTCCATCATAGTTTACTACTCATTGTTGCACGTTTGACATGAATCAATAATTAAAAAAAGTTGCATATCTCAATTAATCAAAACTAACTATAACTACTTGACAATTTTTATCATGGAGCTCCTAAAGCAAATTTATTTTCACATCAATAAATACCGTATGTATAAGTAAACCACAATTATGTTAGAAGAAAAAAGACAATTGTCTATAGTTTTTTGTTTGCTAATGGTAATTTAATTATTTATGGAATCATCAATATTCTTCTGTTAGTTATAGTTGTTGATGCTTCGAGTTCTCAAGATATTTTAAAAATCATCAATCATGGGCTTTTAATAAGAAAATTTTGCAAACCAATTCTTTGAAACATAATGTCTAATATAGACATGTTTCCAAGACTTTAGAACTAGAAAAAACGTTATTTCTAGGAAAGATTAAATTCTGTGAAATGTCAATTACACATTGCCAGCCCCAGCTTGCTAGCTTATTAGTAAAAAAGCAGGCTTGTTAGCAAGTGCCATATAACTAACCAAAGTCCCCACAAACTAATAACCCCCACCTCTGATGTCATTAATAACCATCCTTCTTTTCACTTGTTCTCAAGTAACTGAGAGTACAATTGGATAATTTTACAATCTTTTTTGTTCACTGTGCTGTGGGTGGCGTGCATCAGATTTTTAACAGCAGCTATCAGGGAGGTGCGGCGATACACTTGGCTATTGTACGAGATTTATGTGAGAGCTAGTTGCTTATAATGTATGTTATTGAGCCTTTAGAGTATTTTTCTTTAAAATACCCTTCACCAAACTCATCTAGAACCGTAACAGAAGTTGGAGATTACAACTCGTATTTGACATTTCAGGACCTACTGGTACTTCTAGACCTGCTTGGGTACAAGAGCCCCACCTTCATCAGCAGTTTTGCTGACACTCATGAGTGGTATCAGCAGATCATGTCGGCAGAACAGAGACTGCACAATCAGAAGCTGCTTGTCAATCACCCTAGGTCTTACTTCTTTGACTTTCAACTGAACTTGGGAGTCGGCGACGACCACGTTCCATTCTTGGAGAGAGGTATTTCATGTTTATATTGTGTCGAGCTTGGTAATTTTTCCATCAAGGATACCAATTTGCTGTTCAATTTTGTCTTCTAGAATTGATGCAATCACTGCAATAGGCCTATGTTTCATATATACTTAGTGATCTTTCCAATAATTATTTCACGTGGCTAGTGCAAAGCTACTGCTCCATTCTAAAATCTCATTACCACAAATACATTTTATTATACATGCATTCAATTACACTGAGGGACACATAAAGATTTCATTTCATAATTTCATTAATAATTGCAGTAAAATTCCCTTGCAGTTCTATGTTATTTGAAATATTGGGTTGACGACGTCTCTGTGCAACGATAATGTTTGAAAATGGAACAGTTATGCTCCTAACTATCAATAGGGCTACATAATGTTTTAGGAACATTCATTTTCCAATAAAAAATGATGAGAGGACACGGTTTAAGAAAATTTGGTTCTTTTAATTTAC